GTCGAGATGCCTGGTTAAGCATTATTTCTGGTTGTGTCTGTGAGGGTGTTTCTGGAAAAGACTGGAATTAAATTAGTAGACTAAGAAAAATAGTTGTTCCCCCTTAAGGCTGGTGAGCATCATCTAATCTGCCAAAGGCCTGAATGGAACAAAAAGGCAGAGAAAGGTTGAATTTGCTCTCTGCCTGACTGGTTGATCTATGACATTGATCTTCTCTGACCTTGGGCTCTTGTGGTTCTCAGGCCTTCAGACTTGCTGAAATATGTGCCATCAGCTCTCCTGTTCTCAGGCCTTAAAACTACTCCATTGGCTTTCCTGGGTCTTTACCTTGCAGAGAGCAGATCGTGGGATTACTCAGTCTCCATAATCATGTGTGCCAATATCTTATAATAAGTATCTTTAGATATAGATAGAGAGATTGATATAGATTTATCTATATGTTTGTGTGTGTGTGTGTGTGTGTATGTGTGTATATCTTATTGATTCTGTACTCTGGACAACCCTGACTAGTACAAACACTGGTTGTACATTCAGTGAACTTCTTTCTTTATCTTGAAATGTACATAGAAGTATCATGATGCAACTGTTAGCTGTTACCCTCCAATAAATCTGACTTAGAAGGTACCTTCTCAGGAGAGGTATCATCGTATCATGACAGCATGAGGATTATCTTGGATATGAAATTTCTTTGAGAATGATGGTCCAAAAGTTGATCCAGCTTGATAATTAAATTTTCTAATAAACATATGTGTCTCTCATTAACTTTATTGACATAAGACAATGGGATTTTGGTTGACTATCATAACTGTCAATCATGAAATAATTCAATCAAAGAATAATTCACTTTAAGTGTATGATACTTGTTATTGTCGTAAAAGAAACTTAAGGATGTGAGCTGGTGTGGAGCAGCCATCTCAGACCAAGTAATCTCCTGGGCTCATTACAAGTTTGAAAAAGAACGATTTGCTCTTACTGCAAAAGATAAAAAGAGTACTAAGACTTCTAAATTGTAACATAAAAAAGCCTGTAGGCCAAAAATAGGTCGTGTGCAAGGCCATTTGTGTCTTAAAAGAATAAGTAAACTCTGAATGTTGCAAATGATAGGGCATTCCTATCCTCTTCAAGGAGGTCTGGAAATGCATTGTGGAAGCTGTAATATTTGAGATAGGCCTTGAAGAAAGGATAGTATTTCAACTGAAAAAGAAGATGGGGGCTCTTGCCATTCCTATTCAACACAGTACTAGAGATTTTGGCCAGAGCAATTAGGCAAGAAAAAGAAATAAAAGGACTCCAAATAGGAAAGGAGGAAAGGAAACTCTCACCATTTGCAGATGACATGATTCTATATATAGAAAATCCTAAAGAATTCATCAGAATTTCTGACAAATTGGAAAACTATTAGAAATAATCAACAACTACAGCAAAGTTTCAGGGTACAAAAAAACTTACAAAAATCACTTGCATTTCTATACTCTAATAATGAACTAACAAAGTGAATTCAAGAATACAATCCCATTTACAATCGCAGCAAAAAGAATAAAGTATCTAGGAATATATACAACCAAAGAGGTGAAAGACCTATACACTGAAAACTATGATGTTACTGAAATAAATTGAAGAAGAAATAAAGAAATGGAAAGATATTCTGTGTTTGTGGATTGGAAGACTAAACACAGTTAAAATGTCAATATTACCTAAAGCAGTCTACAGATTCAATGCCATCCCAATCAGAATCGCAGTGACATTCTTCATAGAAATAGAACAAAGAATCCTAAAATTTATATGGGACGATGAAAGACCTTGAATAGCCAAAGCAATCCTGAGAAAAAAAGACAAAGCTGGAGGCATCACAATCCCTGACTTCGAAATGTACTACAAAGCTATAGTAATCAGAACAGTAAGATACTGGCACAAAAGCAGACACATAGATCCATGGCACAGAAATGAAAGCCCAGAAATAAAACTACACATCTATGAACAGTTAATCTTCGACAAAGGAGCCAAGAATATACAATGGAGAAAGGAAAATCTCTTCAATAAATGATGTTGGGAAAAGTGGACAGTCACATGCAAAAGAATGAAAGAATGCCATTATTTTGTACCATACATAAAAAGTAACTCAAAATGGATTAAAGACTTGAATGTAAGACCCAAAACCAATAAAACCCCTAGAAGAAAATATAGGCAGTACACACTTGGACATCAGTGTTGGCAGCATCTTTTTGAATACCATGTCTACTCAGGCAAGGGAAACAAAAGAAAAAATTAACAAATGGAACTATATCAGACTAAAAACTTCTGTAAGGCAAAGGAAACCATGAACAAAATGAAAAGACAACCCACCAATTGGGAGAAAATAGTTGTAGATCATATATCTGACAAGGGGTTAATTTCCAAAACATGTGACGATCTCATACAACTCAGCAACAAAAAAATATCCAATCAAAAAATGGGCAGAGGATATGAACAGACATCTTTCAAAGAAGATATACAGATGGCCAATAGGCACATGAAAATATGTTCAACATCACTAATTATCAGGGAAATGCAAATCAAACTACAGTGAGATATAACCTTACACCTGTCAGAATGGCTATAATTACCAAGATAAAAGATAACAAGTATTAGAGAGGATGTGGAGAAAAGGGAACCCTTATACACTGCTGGTGGGAATGCAAACTGGTGCAACCACTATGGAAAATAGTATGGAGATTTCTCAAAAAATTAAAAATAGAAATACTGTATGATGCAGCTATCCCACAGTGGAATACTACTTGGCCATAAAAAAGACAAAATTGTCCCTTTTGTAGCAACGTGGATGAATCTCGAAGATAGGATGTTAAGCGAAATGAACCAGACAGAGAAAGACAAATACTCCAGTGATTTCGCTCATCTGTGGAAGATAAACACACACACACGGATAAAGAAAACAGACTAGTGGTTGCCAGAAGGGAAGGGGGTTGGAAGGTGGGTGAAATGGGTAAAGGGGCACACATATATGGTGACAGATAAAAATTAGACTACTGGTGGTGAGCATGATGCAGTCTACACAGAAACTGATATATAATAATGTGCACCTGAAATTACACAATGTTTTAAACCATTAGACCTCAATAAAATAATTGAAAAAAAGAATAAATAAACTACTGAAGCTTCAAATGAGGGTGCAATCCTGTCCTCTTGAAAGTAATCTGGAAATGCATCGTGGAAGCTGTAATAGTTGAGAAATCCTTTAAGAAAGGATAGCATTACAATTGTAAAGGAAGATGGGGGCATTTAGGAGAAAGAGGGGGTGCATTTTTGTGGAGAGAACTGTCTTAACAAAAGTATGTACCAGAGAAGATGGTGTTTCCTGAAGGCTTCCAGTCGCTCCCTTTGGTATCGCACTGCATTAGGAGAAATGTAGAAGAGGAGATCTCAGAGTTTAACCAAGGTTTTATTGGAAAGAACTTCAAATAATGCCAGGAAGCAACTGTAGGGTAAAGTATATACATATATTTGTTTATATATATATATATGTGTTCATGTATATGTATTTTTATATATGTGTGTTTATGTATGTGTAGATATGTTTATATATCATGTAATATGAACATACACTTGAACAAATAAACATGAAGAAATGCATATATGTGTATGTATATACACACCGATCTAGATACATATATCATGTATGCATATAATCTGTTAGCAATGACAAACATTAAAAGTTTATCAAGAGGAATATGATTTAATCAGACTTCTCTTTATGAAGAGCAATCTGGCAGCAACGTTGGGGAAGTAAGAGTATCCGCAAGATGTAGGAGATAAGTTGCTAGAGTTTCGAAGTTCACAGGAGCTTTAGTTCTCAGGGTGAGGGCCTGAGTGGTATCGGCAGGAATGTGTGTGAAAACAGTGATGAGAGAGGAAGGGCAGGGGTGGACCTGAAGATGGTCGCTCATTATGCTCCCAGCATAAAATGTGATGGAGGACTTTTAGGGCACAAAACATCCAAACTCTTGCTCACTTTCATGTCTTCCCCAGACAGTCACTGGGCACTATGACATCATATGCTCCTAACATTATTTGAACTTTGGTAGCATGCATTTTGAGCCCTCACATTGTCAACAGCACGTTCCAATAACCTTTATACATTTCTGATTTCTTTATCTTATTAGTTTCCTTTTTTAAAAATTCTCAGAAGATTGAGACTAGTTCCTTCCTGTTCTCCCACTTCTTTTCCCACTCTATGTACATCCCAATTAAATTCTGCAATCTCATCTCTTAGCTTTTGAATCAGTGAAGCATTGCAGACTGTCCTACAAAATACAAGCAGCTGGAAAGTGCCTTTCAAGAAATCGTAGACAGTGAGAGGCAACTCCTCCTTCTTGTTAGTCTTGGAAGCACACTGGTATAAGAGCATCCTCTTACAGTTTGACCTGAACTTCACTGTCTTAACTCTCTTCTCATTTTTTTCTTCATTGTTTGTCCATTTCTTTTTATTTCTCAGTGTGATCTGTGAGTTAAATCCCTAGACAAAGTGAAATGTACCATGTACCAATTAAAGTGGAATCAAAGACCTTTGATGGCTAACAGAATTCCTGGGATTTGCCTGCACTTACTCAAACACTAACCTGCCTCCACTGTGGAGTTAAATATGATATGAGTCTCCAGGCTGCACAGCTGTATTCCTATCAAAGACATCGTGATCAAGTCCTATAGAGGAACTACATTATTTTAGTGCTTAAGACATTTATGAAGCCATAGTGAAAACAGACAGGCATGTAAAATATTTTGTTTTCCTCTTTAATTATTTTAATACACGATTAAAATTCTATGTTTTTGAATAACAGACACAAATATATTGAAGTGTTAATTAGGTACTCCCACTTGAATTCATTAAAATACTAGGACAGTTATAACTGCAAAAAACTTTGCACTCTAACCAAAACAGAGCCACATCTAATCTGCACAGTTGTATGACTGTTTTAAGAAGAAGAGAACAGATATTAGTATGTGACCTAAACATTTCTCTTTAACATTTTTTCAAGTGAGTCTGTGACTTTCTCATTTCTTAGGCTGTAGATAATTGGATTTAACAAAGGAATGATGACAGTATAAAATAGAGAGTCCATCATATCTTGGTCATCTGCTTGTGCAGATCCAGGGCGCACATACATGAAGAAAAGAGGACCATAATATAAAGAGACAGATAAGAGATGGGCTCCACAGGTGGAGAAGGCTTTCTTGAAGCCTCGTACAGACTTTCTTTTCAAGATTGTAAAGAGAAAAAGCATATAAGAGACAAGAACTGTCAGACTGGTGAACACCTGTATTAACCCAGAGAAAATAAAAATGATCAGAACATTAATTGAAGGGTCAGTACAGGAAATTTTAAACAATGGCATGATATCACAGTAAAAGTGATGTATTATGTTAGAACTACAGAAAGTTAATCTGAGTAAAAAAAATACATGAAATGCGGAATAAATAAGGCCACACACAAATAATGTGACTAACAGTCGGATGCATAGTGTATTAGTCATAATCACTGGATAAAGTAATGGATTGCATATGGCCACATAGCGATCATACGCCATTGCTGCCAAAAGAAAACATTCTGTGGTTGCACTGAATGCAAAGGAAAAAAATTGTATCATGCATTCAGAGAGAGATATCTTACCCTTGACAAAGAAGCTGACCAGCATCTTGGGGGTCACTGTGGATGATATCCAAGCATCCGTGAAGGCTAAACTCCCAAGGAGTAAGTACATGGGGATGTGAAGGTGAGGGTCATTGCAGATGAGTGCAATTAGTCCAAGGTTTCCCACAATGGTGATGAGATATATCACCAAGAACACCAGAAACAGGGGGATTTGCCACTCCAGTTGATATGCAAGTCCTGTGAGAACAAACTCTGTCAGCAATGTTGCATTTTTAGTATCCATATTGTTACTAGATGGCCCCTGAAATGAAATGCAGTAAATGTAAAAAGAACATTCACTAAGATTGTATAAAAAGGAAACTGGAGAAAAGTAGTTGAAATAAAATTAGTCAATTATTCAGTAATTTCATTAACTACTTCTATAATACATGGAAACTAATTTGGGGAATGATGTAATTGAAAATGTAATTATTTCAGTTGAAAAAATGTCAGGGTGAAATGGCCCATAGCCTACTGGTTACGTTTGTTGTGCTCCGCCTCAGCTGCCATCATTTGGTTCTGGGATGCACACCTACACTGCTCACCAATGGCCCTGCTGTGGTGGCAACCCACATAAAAAACAGAGGAAGATTGGCATGGATGCTAGCTCAGGGTGAATCCTCCTCTGCAAAAAAAGAAAAAAAAGTCAGAAATTAACAGATTTAGAAAAAAAGAAGACATTCTAAACATGAGCTAAATTTATGGGATACTTGAGTGTGTTATGGAAATTCTGTGTCTGGGATCTGGATGATGGTCTAGGGAAATGAAGTCTGAATTATTGTAAAATCAATTTAATGACATGTGAAGGATCTTGAACTTTATTCTTAGGGCAATAGGCAAGCACTGAAAACTTGTAAGACAAGGAATGGCATCATAATATGTTTTTTAAATTAAATATTTGGGAGTGTAGAAAATACTCTGCAAGGAGGGAAAACTAGAGTCAGGGATACTAATTAGGAAGCTGTTACTCTTGTCCAGTTGTTCCCAAACCAGATTGCAAATCGGAATAGTCTGGGGAACTTTTTATACTAAATATAGATGGTGAGATATCACTGTAGAAATTGAATCAGTGTGCCAAGAAGGAAGTCTAATAATCTGCATTTCAGAATTGCCTCCCTTGGTTCCAATGCATGAGAAGTTTTTAGTCCATGTGTGATATGATATTGGGAATGATGAGGAGGACAAAGAGATCAAAATAAATCATAATGTGGAGTTACTAGGACTCGGTGACGTATTAGCTCTGACAGGGATGGTGAGTGAAGGAAAGAGGAGACCCTTGGTGACTGCTAGATGGTCATCAAAAATTGAGTTTGAAAACTCCAATGAATTGGCCACTTTGTGGAGAGAGCATCCTCTGAACATCCAGATGAGATGTATTTAGTAGTATGAAGCTACTAGAGCTTAATAGCAACAGTGACTTAGGAATTACTGGGGTAGCTGAGGCATACTTATGGATGACCTATCCGTTGGAGAGTGTCTATAAAGTAAGGAGAAGAACAGCATGGAAAGAAACTTGAGGAAGTTATATTAAAGAGGTTGTAAGGGAGTGCATGTAATTTTTAGATGGCTAAAAACTGATCCTCTTTTCTACTAAGTCTTGATCTCAGGCAAAGGTTACCACTCACTCTAGAAGTCAAAGTGCTAGAAACTGACTTTCCCATCTGCCTTGCACTTAGAGTGGGGGACTTGACCTAGTTGACCAGTCAAACTCACCTACCCTGTATTTAGAATATGGAGACAAGGAGACAAAGAGACAAGGAAAAAAGAGAATTTTGGTTGCAAATTCAGCCAAGGCAGCAATATCTACACCCCAGCACATGCATCCTGCATCTGCACCAACCGCACCGTCAGCATGAGCTGTGCCATCCAGAGTTAAGCAGCAGTGACAGCAGCTCCTATTGAGCTAGTGTAGGGATTTAATTTTGGCTGTTGACTGACTGTATTTCTTCTTCCTGCTCCTGCTCATTTTTCAGCTAATACCTCCAATCTCCCTGGAATTTCTATGTTAGAGTCAATTTCCATTCAACTAAGTGATTTCCTCTTGCAACCAAGTGCCATGGCTCCAACCAAAGAGAAATAAGGGAGAGACCAGTAAAGGATACTGAAAAGAAGGACCAGAGGAGCAGGCAGGGAACTGGACAGCTGAGTGTTGCAGACTTGGAGAAAGAAAAGATGCTCAAGGTCATAATGAAGTACAGTGCTGATTGTGAAAATGAGTGCTGTGGTAGAAAAAGGAGCAAATAGGGGTCATTGAGGGTAGGAAATAAGAGAATTTTAGCATCTTTAGTGAGAGCAGATTCTATTTTATGATGGAGTTGAGGCCAAGGAATAATGAGAAGTGAATGGGAAACACGGTGCACAACATGATGGGAATGTTTTTGACTTCTCCAAGAAATGTGGAGAACCGTTAGCATGTGTCCACTGCCTGTAAACAAAAGTAATTTTTTTTTCTGTAGAGTGTCTTAATAAAAGTTTCCAAAAAAGAGGAGAGGAGAGGAAGAAGAGAAAGGGAACAGTAAATGTAGCAAGGGGAAATTTAGGTTAGTGAAGAAGAAAGAGTTGACGAAAGTAGGAAGAGAACAAGAGAGACACAGATGGATAACTGTGGGAAAGACAAGCCTGTGACGACAGTGGAAGTATCTGAGAAAGGCCAAGGGGAGGAAAGGGAGGCTCAGAGATTGGGGGTGAATGTTTGTCTTAACTCTGGTTTTCATAAAACATTGTCAGTATTGGGAATCCTTTCTTTTAGTCAAGATTTCAAGTTTATTTTCCTAAAGAATTTGTGTATGAAATATATTTTCATTTTACATTTTACCTTAGAAACTTTGCAACGTTCATAAATAGACTAGCAGCGCTTGAAAGTTCTTTCAATATTTAAAAGCTGCTTTATCTTTCTTATTACTTTCATTAGAACTGTCTTTCTCTAGAAACCCTGCTGGTTTTACCTGAGAGCACTTTCTTCTCCACTAGCTTTTTTAGTAAAATAAAATTGAGCCAAAGACTGAAACTTAATTCAATGATATAAATAATTCCAGTTGTTAAATGTATTTTTCTTTGGAATGGGCTTCCTTCTGTGTAACCCCAAATCAGTAAATAGTCGAAAATTCTCAAATTCAATATGCATATGGGTCTTATTAAGTAATAAAGGTGGAAAGAACAGTGGAGGAACATTTTCTGCCTGTTTCCTCCTTTATACTTATTTAGAATACTCAGTGAAATTATTGTCAGAAGTGAATGAATGGATACAGGAGTTAATTTGTAGATGAATTACCTTAAAAGTAGAATCAGAGAATGTGATTAATTAAAAATAATGGATCTTTTAATAAGAATAACCAGACAGATTTCTTACATAGGAAACATATGACATGCTATTTAAATCCAGTTTAAATTGATTAACATTCTAGTTCTCCAAAACTTATCTTATGAAGTCATTATAGTTATATTATAAAGACAATAAATTGTTAAGGGGAACAATTCAGTCCTAAAGATATATTGCTTCTCTAACTTAGTCACAAAAATAAGATAATTCACTAACTGTTGTACATTTTTCACCTGCCCTTTTGGCATCTTGTAAATCAACCTAATTTTATTATAAATTATAAAGTACTTTGACTGTTTTATATAAAAATACTGAATGTTATAAAATTCATATTTCTCTTACCCATGTCTTGTAAGTAATTGTGGAGATTCTTTTACAGTTAGGCCTTCTAAGGTAGAAAAATATACAATAGCGCAAGAATGACAATAACATAGGTAGCAGCTCTTTGCATGCTAATTCACTCTGGATCTTTCATTCCCAAGATCATGAAAATGTTGTTTATATTAATTTGCTTTGAACATGAGTCAACCAATTATACAACTGTGTGCTTAAGCCAGAAGAGGAAGGAGTGAAGAAATAAAATTCCCCTGATAGCACCCAAGGATTCCCTTTAGGACGTAGCTAAGCTTTTCTTCTGGGTAGTGTAGATTTTAACATGGATGAGAAGTCCAAGTTATCCCACAAGGCATTACAGACTCTGAAATAATAAACATCAAGTCATTGTAGACAGTGCTGGTTTTAATGATTGAAATTGCACTTTATGCCACTACTTTCCACCAGAGAAGACACTTTTGACATAGTTATGCAAACTCTAGTTTATCTACAGATTTTGATGCTCTGAGTACTTTGATTGGTATGGTCTTGTCTGAGCTGATCATGCATGATTTTAATGAGGCCAGAGTTCTAGATTCCCTTCAGGAGCCGACCCCAAGAAAGTTGTCCTCCTCATGCAAGCTGCAGCTCATGTTCAGACCTGGACCTAACTCCCCACTTTGAGCAGAAGTCTGATGAGAAATCTTACTAGGCAAAGCTCAGGGAGGAGCAAAGGAAAAACTGCAAAGGACCAGAGTGGGAGGAGGCCTAGATCAGATCATTCCAAACTTTAATACCGGTGAATATCCTGAAGATCTTGTTAAAAATGCAGATTCTGTTTCACAGGTTGACTGGGACCAGAGGGTCTTCATTTTTAACAAGGTAATGCCTGTGGCCACCTGCCAGTTACAGGGCCTTCTTCATTGGAAGGCCTAGATTATCAGAGAGCTGGGTCACTGGAGGAGCTCAACATGGTAAACGTAGTTGACATGCCAGGGGAGAGCAGGAGGAGCCGTATGGGGCCAGGGATGCCAGCATGAATTGGATCACATGGGATCTGGAGGCCAGATTGGGACCTTTGTGCTTTAACCCAACTTAAAAAGAAAGCTATTGAGGGATGTTGAACATGGTGCTAAGGTGTTCAGATTTGCCTTTAAGTATTAATAGAGTGGTTGACAAGGAATATTCCTTCAGAAGACTAATTATGTTATTTATGTCAAAATAGTATAAAATGAAAATATCAATATTTAATATCTGAAAAGTAACAAAATGTTTATCATCCACTTGAGACTTGATTCACAGCTGAGGAAAGCAAAGGGCATATCTTTTGATAGACTCATTAATCAATTACCTTACATCATTATTATGCTAGTGAAAATCTAAAAATATGAGAAAAACTGTACATTCATGAGCAGCATAATGATATTTCAGTCACTGATGGACTGCATATAGTACAGTGGTTTAATTAGACTAGTACCCTATAGCCTAGGTGTGTAGTAGGCTGTGCCATCTAGGTTTGTATAAGTACAATCTGTCATGTTTGAATAATGGCAAAATTGTCTCCAACTTATTTCTCAGAACATATCCCACTTGTTAAGTGGCCCATGGCTGTAGATAAAAGAGAACATAAAAGAAAACTCTTTAAATGGGCAAAAATATGAAACAAGTTGTGTTCCATATGAATATTCACTAAAGGGAACCTCAGCAGGGGAGAAGTTTAGTAATAAAGTGGATAGGATGACTGGTTCAGTGGAGACCCATCAACCTCACTCACCAGTCATACCCGTCATCACCAATGAGCTCATGAACAAAGAAGCCATGGTGGCAGGGATGAAGGTTATGCATGGACTCAGTAACAGGGACTTCAACTCACCATGGCCAACTTGGCTATGGCTATTGCTGATTACTCAATCTGCTAGCAGCAGTGACCAACACTGAGACCCCAATATGACATCATTTCATTGGGGTGGCCAGCTA